CTTGTTCCACTAAATGAATTCGTTTGTGCACCGCCGCCACCACCTCCAAACTGGTTTTGATTGAATGAATTGCCTTGACTGTATGCCTGATTACCGTGAGGACCTGTCCCAGATCCAGATGAAGCTGACGTTCCCACACTACCACCTGCTCCGCCGATGCTCTGCGACGAAGAATGACTAGAAGATGAAGTACCTTGAAGTGGTCCGCCCCATGTTTGTGTTTCAGATCCACTGTTTGAATTTAATATTGAGCCATCGCTGCCTTGGAAACTTGAGGACGTTTGACCGGATGCTTTGTTTCCACTTACACCATTTTGATGAAAAGTTTCTGATAATGTTTGTGAACTACTGTCCGAAATACCATGCTGCGTTTGTTGATGGGCATTGGCCACACCGTTTGCTTTATTACGTTCACCATCCGGTCCGACTTCATGCTGTGTGCCTGAAATTGTTTATTAAATCGAGTGAACAAATTGATACGTTTATTCTATCAAATATGTAAATCTTGAATTTGTAATTCATTTACCACTATTGGATGAAGATGTTCCCAAATTTCCATTCTTGTCAAAGTTCGCGGATTGACTTTGGGCATTGTTTTTCTCACCAAAACCTTGAGCTGTTTGATAGCTTTGTTGATCTGTGTTTGCAGCACTCAATTGTCCAGACCCATCGTGGCCAAGATTTGATGCAATGCTTGAGCCGCCATTATTTTGAAAATTGCCATTTTGATTTTGTACATTCGAAGAATGCGTATTTGATGCAGTATTCTGATTTGATTGTGAATTTTGATTTTGAGCAACGCTATTTGCATTTGCAAGTTGTTGTTGTTGCTGCTGCTGATATGGATATGGCTGTTGTGGATAGGGCTGTGGCTGCTGATACTGATTGGGTGTCTGATTTTGTGGAATTGGTCGATTAGGCACTTGATTTTGTGGCACATTTTGGTTATGTTGGTCTGGATAATATGATAGATACATTATAGATATGTATTAATATTACTCTATATATATAACCGTTCAAGACATTACCTTGTGGACGGAACCCAGAGCTTCCGTGATGATGTTGGTTATGATGATGATGAGGTTCAGAATATATGTGTGGTGTTTCACTAGGTGGACGCTCATAAACGTTATGATAAGCCCCAATTGGCGCTTGATATGGACCTTGGCTTCTATCATTTTCATTTCCATTAAATATGTTACTAAGCGCGTTGTGAATCACCTTTCTAAGCGGTCCACCATGGCCACCGCCACCAAAGAGACCGAAACGGGACTCAAGTTCTTCTGGTTGCGTTGAATTTTGATCACTTACATCTGGTATTTTTTTGACTTGCTGCGTTTCAGAATCGTCCGCTGGAAAAACTACAGGATCGTTAGCAGATCTTCTAGCTCGACTTGATCCCGAATTTTGATTTCCTTCTGTTGCATTTTGAGTATGTTGTGTATTTTGCTTCGAATCATCTACAGAACTCTTTGATTTCTTCTGAGTTTCAGTTGTAAGTGATTTTGTTGAAGCATCATCAACTCTTACCTAAGAAAACGATGAAGATTTAAGCAATTTCTGAAATAAAATAAAATGATATTGATTTCATTCGTAATATTATTTACATCTAATCCAAATTCTGCCCCTGGAGCATCCAAATCGACTGATGGTGGAATATCTAATTCGGCTGATGGATTGCCATTGCCCTGCACCAAAACGGGTTGGTTTGGCACTTGCACATTATTTCCACCTCCTTGATGAATCGTAGGCATTGGAATTTGTTGATTTGGTACAGTTTGGGGTTGATTGTAATTATTTAAAACATTTTGAAATTCCGGACTCAAGCCATTTTCCACATTTTGACCTTCATCTATAGCAACTATTCATTAAATTAAAGAAATGATTAGTTTTAAGAAATGTGATTTGAATTGAAGATGTGAAAAGAATTTAAAAGAAGTTCGTTTCTCTACTGAATAGACACAGCAGCAAAACGATTGCAATATTATTTATGAATTGTGACAAAGTTCCAAATATAAATGATCGAAAATTAAAAACCTGAGTGAAGTTGACTTGGAAGCTGTGGTCCTGGTGTTGGTTGTTGTTGTACTGGTGATATGGGATATTGTTGGGTCGAATACTGTTGATATGGATACGATTGATGTGGGTGGTGTGGAGATGGGTGTTGATGTGGATGTGGGTGTGAGTGAGGATGTTGATGATATTGTTGGCCATACATTTGATTTGGATATGTATTTTGCGGATAATATGATTGTTGGAATTGTTGATAAGGATTGTAAAAATTATTAAAAGGATTTGATGACATGTAGGGATTTGAGTAATATTGGTTGTAAGGATTGGAAATAGTTTGTGGCTGATTAAACGGTTTTCCTGTTGTGAATAATGAATAGATTAAATATATCTATAGTCAGATTTCTGAAATCCAAATCTTCGCGCACCTGATGGTTGTTGATATTGTTGGTTCGGTTGAAAGGCATTTGTGTTTTGTGATGCAGTATTTGCTGAAGCTGCGGCCGAAGTTTGACCCCCCACCGATGTTGATTGTGCTTGGGAGCTTGAAACTGTATTTTGAATATCAAACAAATTTCCTAGTTGAAAACCGCCCGATTGTGTATTCGATGAAGATGATGAAGTTGCACCTTGTCCGGTTGCTGCCGATGAGGCCGATGTTTGGGTTTGTGTATTTTGTGAATGGCCAAACAAACCACCATTATTATTTAGTCCAAAATTTAAACCGCCTAATTGAAAGCCAATTTGACCCGGCATTCGATTTATTCCAAATCCGGTACCAACTTTATCGCTATTGATGCCAGCATTCAGACCCAAGCCGCCCAAGTTGAATTGTTCATTTAGACTTCCAGAATTACTACCACTCGTTGACGATGCTTGCGATCCGGACACAGTATTCGTAATTGGAATGCCGGCAACATTGATTGCATTTGTCAAAGCATTACTTTGAGCTTGGCTCTGTGATCCAATCTGATTAAATTGCCTTTGCTGACCTTCAACTATGTAAAAAACGGTTTGAAGTGAAAAAAAATTGTTTTCAACGCAAGAACAGAATTTAATTATCATGTATTTCAAGCGAAAACAGATAATCAGTAGACTATTTGAAGACAGACACACAGACAGAGAGAGAGAGAGAGAGAGAGAGAGAGAGAGAGAGAGAGAGAGAGAAAGAAAGAAGAGAGAGGACAGAGATAGAGAATTATTTGATAAAGTCGATTTTTTCGCCTAAAAATTTCACATTAAACATTCGATTTGATGAATAAATTCGCCACAGATAAAGAAAGCTATCACCAATATGTGTTGTATTTAAAAAAAAAAATGTGTCAAATAACATTAAATCACCGGTCTGGCAATGTAAATATCGGGAGAAAACAAAAATTGCTGACACAATCTATGCAAACAAAACCATCATGTGGTAAAACCAGTTTAGTTGCGACCAGGTTCAATTATCACATTTTTTCAGAATATTTCAAATCGTTCGTAGAAATATATAATTAACCTTTTCGATTGGAAACTGTTGAAGGTTCATCGTTGCGTTACATGACCGGTGTTAAAAATATTCACTTATACAGATTCTTTTGTATCTTTTTTTTTTTTGTCACAAGCAAAAGAAATAAATTGATCCGAAAACACAGCACATGTACTAAAAAAACAACATAAATTTCCAAAATTCGATGGATTTACGAGACGACTAAGATAACTCACAGTAAACCTCGATTTAATTAAAATAACAGGTTCTTTTCTGATATCAGACATCAAAAAATAAATAAGAAGTACGCAAAAAATGATACGCAATGTTAAACATGAAATCGAATATGGATGATTAAAATTCTACATTTCAGACGCTACTATTTTTTAGCTATTTGAGAAAAACCCGAAGTGATTGTTATAGTTAATACTTCCATTGTTACAATCACTATAACAATCACTTCTATAGTTTTCATCCCATTTCAGCGCCTCGCGATAGCTTCCTGAGCTGATTCAGTTGGCTGAAAATATCTCAATATAATATGTGTGTCGAAGAAAAAAAATTCTTTCCATTTTTTCGTCAACTTCGACTCGTCTCTTCGACGAGGAATCCTGGTTCATATTATTTCACATTTATTTTTAAATTAACACATAAAAGATGGTTGGACAATACTTTTTATATCAGCACTTTGTCACAATTTCAATTATTAATCACTACTTACCATTCGCAGCAATTGTTGCTAAAAGCAAAAGCACACCAAATGCTTCTGAAATTTTAAGCGTTGTCATGTTTCTTGGATAATTTTCCGTACTTCAATCGATTGTTGATGATATGTTTTCCGTAAAAAGGATCTAGTCTATTTTTTCCTAGTCTATTTTTGCACAATAGTCCACTGGTTCGAACGTAAGCAAAACTGTCACTCACAAAATAATCGAACAACAATTAAATAAATGCAATTCACTGCATCGGATATTGTATTCATTCGTTCACTCAACATACATCGCAGAAAAAGTGTTTAGTGTTTTGAATACGAGCTCCGTTGACGAACTGAAGTCATTGATTAAAATTGGACGAATATATGTCAAACACACATAATTCGTGGTATCTCGTTTTTGGTTGTTGTTCGTTTTATTCGTTCACATTGACCATGATTTGGACGTATTTCCACTTATTACAACGAATAAAATTTAAAACAAACAAGAAATACTTCTTTTATTGTATATTTACTTACACAGAGGCAGAAAATGTTTGGCGTGTTCTCTTCTTTTTTTTATTCATTCAAATCAGCGGCGGATGCTGTTTTTATGTGCCCATCAGAGGTGTAAAGAGTAAAAAAAACATTTCGAAATAACGTAGCATATAAATGAGAGAGAAGTGCTAACATAGAAACTGTATACTAACACAAATACAAAATCTATTCAAGCAATAAATTTGGCTTTTACTTCGTCTGGTTTATCTCTATATAGCGTCAGTTCATTTTTTCTTCTTTTTATTCGAAGTCGATGTGATGCTATCAGCTTCGATCCAATACACGTAAATAATTGTTGATAATGTCAATTTTCAATATAAAAACGTTTAAATTTACTGAGTAAAAATCATAAATGAAGTTGATTGCCTGAGGTCTTTTCTAGTTTCATAAAGTATAATTGATAATAAGGATTAATAAATTTGAGCAGGTGTAAAGTAATGACTTCAAAATAAAAATATATAAAAATATAATATACTCATTATGATTGCATTTTTTCATCATTTTGTTAAATTTGCATTCTGATTGCAAAGGACTCTCGCAAAATACATGTCATGTTATTTCTCTATCGTGGGGTTTTTTTTTCGAAAAGAATTCTCCGAATTAATTATAAATATATCTTTCCAAATCTTTATTTATCGATACGTGGCATTCATGGCAAAAAAAAATTAATTGGGGAAATGTTCTACTTTCAGTGTAACCTCTCACAGCATCGTTTCTGTTTTTTCGCACCGTAACATGCAAATGTCAATGATCTTATGATTTAATAAAAAATACCAATTTTACATATTGACCACAGAGTCATTTCAATTCATTCATTATATATAATTGTATTTGTGTGAATTTCGGAGATGAGTGAAATATTCAATCACACAGCTAGAAGGCGATTGTTCGTCCATTCTATTTTATATGAACATTCGTCATATATAATGTGTACAGCGAGAATTCGTCGTATTTATGTATGTGGCGTTGGAAATACCCAAATTATACTGACCGATATATTCTGATGTTCATATCTTAAGCCGAAATAAAAACATTAATGCGTACAAATGTAGTAGATCGTGTTCGAAAAAGACAGCGTGTTACGCACGGTGAATAAGAAATCACAGCTATGACCCTAACCTTTTCTCAACATTTTTAATATGCGACCAAAATGAACGAATGAGCAATTGGGAAGTACAGTTCGTCAATGCCGTTTAACAACGTTTCTTTCAATCTTGAATCAGACGAAAGTCTATCTATCGGAAATGTCGTACCACATTAACACCGAATGATATTTTGAAGATAGTTTTATATGTATATGCTTGAAATGCTGAATATTGAAGTCATATGTTATCAATATTATGACTCGTTGTCACATGCGTAATGTTTACAGCTGTTATTTATTGTTGGGTAAAACCACTTTTAATTTTTGAACATTCAGCTCTGGTTTTTTAAAAAAGAAATTACTCACATGAATAACAATTACTTGACGAAATTCTTTTTTTGTTATTACCATTATCAAAATTCATTCCAAATATAACATTGTCGCTATTGTTTCTGTTTATTCGATGACATTGAACTTCTTTTTGTACTCAACAAATTAATATTTCGGCCACAACTTGCAATACAAACACTACAATAAGCTAGACACTAGGTGGCTATCATCAACCTGAAACTTGTTTAAAGCAACAACGAAAAATAATCAAAAAGACACTTCGTATTCTAAGCTTTGAGGATTTTTTTACTTTGAAATTCACAATTTTTTTAATGTATTCTACGAAAATATAAGTATATTTGTTTTCGATCGAATATTATGGCACATAAAATGAAGTAATTGTATTGTTATGCAATGTGTGATTGGGACGATGAACAGGTGACCCATAAGAATTGACCTTTTGAACTTGTTCGAATCTTGCATCGAATGTAAATATATCAAACATCAAAAATTAGTTTTAATCCAATTTTTCCTTAGAATTAATAACAATAATAAGTCCAGTTTTAAGCATCTTTTTATTGAACGTCATCCGAGCTTACACTCTCTGTGTCCATGATTTTTATCATGATATGTGATTATTTATTTTGTGGCAATATTTAAAGTGAGATAATTTTTTTGGCAAGAATATGTAAAAAAAATGAAAAATATTTTGACGGATTTTTGTGAGACCGGTTTTTACGTTGGTTTAAATATTATTTATGACTAATTCTGGATTTTACTTCGTCCATTGAATAAAAAAGTAAAGCATACTTCAAATTGCTTCTGCATCATCGTTTCTTAAGTCGATATTATTGTTATTTTACAGTCAAGCAAATACTTTCGACGAAATTTATTGAATCTAGTTTTGGCTATGGCTAATATATGTACTGTATTATTTTTATTTGTTCTTCGGAATCTGAGAAGGCAGCTCAAATATGAAATTTTTATTTTCCACATTATTCACATCCAAAACGGTGATCCAGCATATAAGCTGCTACACTGCTACATACAAACAATGTTTCAATATTTTTTTTCGGCTGTTGGCTTGTCTGACTCAAATGAAATTTATGGAAATATAAATTTACGTAGAGCAGAGTGATTCTTTTGGCTATAGATTTTTATTGTATATTGATTTTGATAAATCGAGAGGAAGAATAAGCCATACGAAACGAATATTTCTCATAGTCTTGGTCTACAAAATTCCAGATTCCTTGCGATTGTCGTTTCGATTTTATGGTTTTTATTCGATTTTTGCGTTGATACGTGTATCACTTTATTATGTAATATAAATTGCTGTCTCCAGAAATTGAGCCAATACGAGATGAATTAGAGCAGAATCTACATTTGTATCTCCGTTAGTTTATTTACTTTGCAATATTCTGATTTATGTTTATCTGCTGGTTTGTGGCTAACTCAAAGTTAATCTCACTGAACATTATTATTTTATTAAAAGTATACGTCAAATCAACTTAAATCAAATTCAATCTCATTTTACAGCCAGTGAAAGAAATCGTCTTGGAAATGTTTACTTTCTTTCAGACTGAATGGTTCAGTTTGTTTGTCTAGATGTCATTTGATGAAACATGAACTACCTTGAACTTATTTTTTATTTAAATAATCTTAATAGCTTATGTTCACTTTGGCAATTGATCTAGCCATACATAAACCTTTACAAGGTGAAGTGTGTGCTCAATAGAGTATTTGTAGGAAGATTCAAACATAATAATGAATCGATTGTTTTCATAAAATTCAGTGAAATCGATATATACACTTGGTAACATAGAGATTTGCTTTAATTGTTTTGTGATTATTAACAAAAATGGAAAAAAAGAAGTGGAAGAAAATATTGTAAGTCTCACGTACCGCCGCTGCTGTCAAACAATTGACCGTGTAAAAAAAAACCAACGACAGTCGATTATGGTGAATGAATGTTTTGCTAATAAAACTACCCAAAATTGACTAGGTGTCTCGTACACATAATCAAATCGTCATTCGATTAATAGTCGAAACGTTACTAATGTATTTGGCACGTTTTGTCATATTGGTCAACAATGATGGGAAATCAAAAGACAGAAGTAAACTCTTACTTTCTTTGACGCCATTCATCGACTTACAATTCTTTCACATTCTGTTGCTCTTTGTTGTTCTGCTTTGCGTTTATGTCGACTGAACGATGGAGCTATTGTATTGCAGTACATAAGACTTTATGGTTTTGCTTTGTGAAAGTAGATTTGATTGCCAGCTATTAGACATACCGAAATGGCAAACGGACATTATGCGTTTCATTTATGGTTATAGGAATGTAATGCTTATAGGCTTTATTATGCGTCACGATTTACAACGGCCAAAATAAAAAGTGTAGAGCCACATGTCGAGACACAAAATGGAGAAAATCATAGCCGAACAAAACAATGAAAGCAAACTCACAATAAAAAGGATTTTTTTTTCACTTTACCATGGGTCAAAATATTGAAGAAAACACTTCAATTGATAGCAAATCACCACCAATTTATTCTCTAAATGATATCAAGACAATTTTACGTTTTGGGCACAAATGAACATTTGGCATGGAGTATAAAAGTGGAGCATGTGTGCTTAGAAGTAATCTATCGGGTGAAATGGATAAATTGAAAGAAATTGTAGTTGCAGGCGAGTTATCACTTTCGCAAACAATATGGAATAAATTCAGAACGAATCCTTATTTAAGAAGAAAATCAGTTTTGAGTCACGACTAACAATACGTTGCCAATTTTAGCACTGATTGTGTTTTCTGTTTTTTTTTTTTTTTTTAATAAAGCAGCACAGAAATTCACATTTTTAAAAATTTTTCATCGAAACCATATAATATTATTGTGCAAAGACCGACAAATGAATGCTCTAGAATAAAAAGAACATACACTCTTATATTGTAGGGATTACCCCAAACAAATTTTCGGATTTTTTTCTAATGTTACCCCAAAAGTAGTCAAAATGACTCCAAATGGATTAAATTATTATTTTGTGAACATAGAACTATTTTTCACAATAAAATTATTTTAAAACACCCAATAATGTACTGACAGTTCTAATGTGGTGAATTTTACAACAGAACGTTTAAAAAATCTTTATGTCAACGAACGTTGTGAATAGTCCAACAATCGTTGTCGTTGTGAATACGTACAATATACAATGACATATGTATATTCACAATGACAACGATTGTTAGACAATTCACAACGTTCGTTGACATAAAGATTTTGTGAACGTTCTGTTGTAAAATTCACAACATCAGAGATGTCAGGGTGTTTCAAAAGTAATTCGTGCTTCCGTAAAACTTCAGAAAACAATATAAAAAATTTGACTATGAAAATTATTTCTTTGTTTACA